CTTAATAAATGTTTATTGATTGAGTGACTGACTACCATGTAAATAGAAAGAACAAACAAAAAAGTGAAAATTACTTCTGTGTAATTATAAGGACCAAGATTATCCCCAAAGAAGTGATGAGAAAACACTCCTCTCTCTTCTTTGCTGAGGTGGCTGACCTGCAAAGGTGTGCAACAGTTCATATTGCCAAAATGTGCTGATTAGTTTTGCTAAACTGTTTTCCCCCTCTTTCTTTTTTATTCATTACAAGGAATGGATCACTGGATAGGCAAGGGAAAAATATATTTGGAAATAAAGGTAATGTAAAAACAGAATATATATATCAATTTTTTCATTTTAAAAATAAAATGTTGATTCTTTAAAATAATGTTAGTTTAAGTCCATGCCAACTGAACATTTTTGACTTAAATACTTTTGATTAGTGCTCAGCAGGTAGGGTGATCAGTAGCACCCTCTTCATATGCTCTAATAATTAACTTTTTTTTACTCTAACAAGCCCCATTCCTCCCACCTGTCTTCATAAGACCTATTCAGAATAATAAATCATTTTGCAAACCTGAAAGCACTATACAAAAGTCAGTTATTATTATACATGTTTTAATTTAATTAACCATTTTATGCACTCTCTCTAGTTTCTCCATATCCTTTACATGAAAGGGTATAAGCAGTATTATAATGAAGGTCAGAGATTATTTCCTAATCTTTACACAACCATTTTCTTTTCACCATCAGTATCTTAGTCTGTTTGTTTGTTGGCCTTTCTCCCAGTGGTACTACATTGCTGACTGTAAAAAGATGGTCTATCTTGCACAGCATTTAAAGGACACAGCCCAGAAGGTTACTGGCCCCAAATGAGTTTATCTCATTAATTTAAAAAGTCAGTATATGTCAGTGTTATAATTCATATGATTCAATGATTTAAAAAAAAGCCCAATTAGTAATAAGCTGAAATAGTAGCCTTTTATTGCCAAACAATAGAGGGTATATGGCAGGCACATCAAATTTTCTGCCTCAAAAGAGACTGTAGTTTTAAACTGCAATATGGCATCTAAAATAATAGTAATAATTAAAAATAAACAGTATTTGAAATCTGTGGAATTTGTCACCACAATTTTATGTGAATCATTAACTGTCTTTATGGAAGGATCAATCTTAGAAAAGTCTAAAACTTCAGAACATTAATAACGAACAGCAGCCATTAGTCATTTGTTGAGTAATCTATTAAATTAGACACAATCACACAGTGCAAGCATCAATTTAAAGTATTTATTTTACAATCATTGCCTTTTACATCATTACCTTTTTTTTACTTCAGTTCTCTGATATAGTATATCTTGCATAACAGAAAAGCAGGAAATAGTATGTGTGTGTGTGTGTGTGTGTGTGTGTGTATTTTTCTTATTTAAAAGATTATTAAACGAAATTTTGACTGAGCATAATGGCTTTTTCAAGGCATTTTACTAAGAGATCATGAAGAGGCTCTCCCAACACAATGTAGTCCAATGTTCTCCAGCATGCTCAAAGAAGATGCGGAAACCATATCTAAGCCTAACCTTTTAAGACACTGAAGAACACTCACTCATTTCATTCAGAGTTGCCCAACTATCCCTGATGATGAAATTAGAAATACTCCTTTTGCAACCAAAGACATCTGTTCATCACCTAGACCAGTTTACATATTACACTCAAGAATAGCAGTCCTTACCCAGCAAAACTGAGTGTAATCCTTCAGGGGAAAAAATGGTTATTCAGTGAAATACAGGACTTTCAAGCATTCTTGATGAAAAGACCAGAGCTGAAAAGAAAATTTGACTTGCAAACACAAGACTCAAGTGGAACATGAAGAGGTAAACAGGAAAGAGAAAGCATAAGAGATTTATTAAGGTTGAACTGTTTACATTCCTGCATGGAAAGATGATATTTATAACTCATGAGACCTTTGTCAGTATTAGGGTAGTTGGAAGGAAAAAATTCTATGTATGGATAGATAGATAGATAGATAGATAGACAGACAGACAGACAGACAGACAGACAGACAGACAGACAGACAGACAGATAGATAGATAGATAGATAGATAGATAGGTAGGTAGGTAGGTAGAGGGCACAGGGTGAGATGAAGATTAAGGGGTCATATCTGGAGAATAAAATTAAGGGATAAGGGAAGACTATACTAGGAGAAGAAGAAAGGGAGAGGTAGAACAGGGTAAATTATCTCACAAAAAAAAACAGAAAATAAAAGGCTCTTACAATGGAGGGGAAACGGGGGAAGGTGAGAGGGAATGAATGAATCTGATTCTCATAGGATTTGGCTTAAGGAGGGAATAACATACACATTCAATTGGGTATGGAAATCTGTCTTACCCTACAGGAAAATGGGGGGGGAAGGGGACAAGAGAGCAGGGGGATGATAGAGAGGAGGGCAGATTGGGAAAGGGGGTAATCAGAAACAAATACTTCTGAGGAGGGACAGGGTCAAAAGAAAGAATAGAATAAATGGTGGGGCAGGATAGGATTAACGGAAATAGAGCTAGTTTTTCACAACATGTCTGCTATGGAATTGTTTTGCATAACTGCCCACGTGCAACCTCTATTGAGTTGCTTGCCTTTTCAATGAGGGTGGGTGGGGAGGAATGAAGGGAGAAAATTTGGAACCCAAAGTTTTAAAAACACATGTTTAAAAAAAAGTTTTCACATGCAACTAGGAAATAAGAAATACAGGAAATGGGGTACAGAAGTCTATCCTGTCCTACAGGAAAACAGAAGGGGAAGGGGATAAGAGAACGGGGCAGAGAGACAGAAAAGAGGGCAGACTGGGGGAAGGGGTATTCAGAATGCAAGCCATATTGGGGTGGGGGGAGGGGCGAGATGGGGTGAAAATTTGGACCTCAAAATCTTGTGGAAATAAATGTTGAAAACTAAAAATAAAAAAATTTATATTAAAAAAAAAAGAATAGCAGCCCTTGGGCAGCTAGGTGGCACAGTGGATAGAGCACTGGCCCTGAAGTCAGGAGGACCTGAGTTCAAATCCAGTCTCAGACCAAACACTTGACACTTACTAGCTGTGTGACCTTGGGCAAGTCACTTAACCTCAACTGCCTAAAAAAAAAAAAGAATAGCAGTCCTCTGCAAAAGGTTTTTTGAACAAATATATTAATTATCTTCTTGGCAGGGGTTCTTAACTTGTGGCCAGTGATTTTTTTTTATATTTTGATAACTATTTCTGTATAATTTGTTTCCTTTGTAATTTCATGTTATTTTTTACACTTAAAAACATTATTCGGAGAATGGGTCCATAGGCTTCACCAGACTGCTAAAGAGGCCTCTCTCTCTCTCTCTCTCTCTCACACACACACACACACACACACACACACACACACAAAGTTAAGAACCTCTACTCTTTGGTCACAATGTTGATGTGATGAATGGATACTTGTGACATTATTGCCATTACTTTGAGATGGTATTCCTATGGCTAAAAAGATATGAATTATAATCTGAATTTATCAAAGCCCTCTTCTTGCTGTCATATAAGGCTATTACATAATGTAGAGCCTTTTTAGTCATTTCTCCAACTGTAGCTTCCATATGGAGTGAAGGATGAAAAGGAAATCTTCATTCAACTTAATGTCAACTCAAAGCTGGATGTAGAAATCTATCTTACCTCATAGGGAAGTAGGAGGGGAGAGGGACAAGAAAAGGAGGGGGCCTGATAGAAGTGAGGGAAGATTGACAGGGGCGATGGTCAGAAGCAAAACAACAGTGAGGAGGGACAGGACAAAAGGAGAGAGAGACAAAAGTATAAACAGGGGAAAAATAGGATGGAGGGAAATACACAGTTAGTAATCATAACTGTGCATGTGAATGGGATGAACTCTCTCCCATAAAACATAAGCAGATAGCAGAGTGGATTAAAAATAAGAATCCTATAATATTTTGTTTACAAGAAACACATCTGAAGCAGAAAAACATACACAGAATAAAGGCAAAAGGCGGAGCAGAATATATTATGCTTCAGCTAAAGTAAAAAAGGGAGTAGCAATCATGATCTTAGACAAAGCAAAAGCAAAAACAGATCTAATTAAAAGAGACAAAGAACAAAACTACATTTTGCTAAAAGGTACCATAGACAATGATGTGATGGCAATATTAAATATATACGCACCAAATAGTATAGCGTACAAATTTCTAAAGGAGAAGTTAAATGAGTTACAAGAGGAAATTGAGAGTAAAACTGCACTAGTAGAGAACCTCAACTTTCCCTCTCAGAACTAGATAAATCTAACCAAAAAATAAACAAGAAAGAAGTTAAGGAGGGGTGCAAAAACAGAGAAAGAAAACTACTGACCAATTTCCCTAATGAATATCAATACAAAAATTTTAAATAAAATAGTAGCAAGGAGATTACAGCAATAAATCACCAGGATCATACACTATGACCAGGTGAGATTTATACCACAAATGTAGGGCTGGTTCAATATTAGGAAAACTATCAGCATAATCGACATATCAATAATAAAACCAATAAAAATCATATGATTTTCTCAATAAAAACACTAGAGATCATAGGAATAAATGGGGCTTTCCTTAAAATGATAAGTAGTACCTATCTAAAACCATCAGCAAGTATTATCTGTAATAGGGATAAGCTACAAGCTTTCCCAATAAGATCAGAGGTGAAACAAGGATACCCCTTATCACCTCTATTATTCAATATTATACTGGAAATGAAATTAGCTTCAGCAGTGAGAAGAAAAAGAAAATGAAGGAATCAGAATAGTCAATAAGGAAACAAAACTGTCTTTGCAGGTGATAGATGATGTATTTAAAGAATCCTAGAGTATTAACTAAAAAACTACTTGAAAAAACTAACAACTTTAGCAAAGTTGCAGGATAATAAATAAACCCACATAAATCATCAGCATTTCTACATATTACCAACAAAGTCCATAAGTAAGAGATAGAAAGAGAAATTCCTTTTAAAATAACTGTAGACAATATAAAATACTTAGAAAGTCCATCTGCCAAGACAGACCCAGGAACTATATGAACACAAGTACAAAACACTTTTCACATGAATTAATGCCAACACTCTCCCTAGAAGGACTCCCCAAAGGGCAAAGCTAAGTCTTCGCTGGACACACAAAAGACAAGAACACGTCAAGCTGGTTCTTGACAATTACTACGTCTGGATGCAGCTTGTGTGGCAGGTAGTGGGCGAGTGTCATCTCCCAGGCATCTACTAAGTACACACCTACCCCCGAGAACATCTTCCTTAGAATGGTGTCAAGCTGAAAAGAGAACCAGTCACTGTTGAAAAGGCTAACCTCAGGCCCCAGTTCCTGGACATTGGCTGTTCGAATAACTACCACAGTCTTTGGACTCCGGTCTAGGAGGCGGACAACTGCCTGGCGAATGTTTCTCAGCCGCCGGATGTAAACTTCTAAGGGGAAGGTGCTGAAGTGAGACCATATGGCTATGGCCACCACAGTGCTCCTCCCTCCCACGATCCTGTTCAGCTCGTTGGCCACATAATGTAGCTCGTTGCTTAAGACAGTAGTGAACCGGATGGGAGGCCCATGACAGCGATACCGTAGCAAAATGTTGTGTTTCAAATCCACTGCGAGGTAGGGGCCAACATTTTTAGGACTGCCCAGGTTAAACTCCACCAAATCTGAAACATATATTTGCATAAAGACATTCAACAATAAAAATAGAATACTTTTCTCTCTTACCCCACTTACCTAAAGGAATCAAAGAATATCTATCTGAATGAAAGCAAAATAGTTTTTTTGGATAGTATATATTTATTTACAAAGGAAATGGAAGAAGAAAAGGCTTCACCTGGGTGATACTGTTGAAAGAGTATTTAATTTGGAATGAAACAGCCTGCTTTCAAATATCAGTTCTGCCACTTATTACTTATGTTACTTTGGGTGAGTTATGTGACTTCCATGAGCCTCAGTGTCCTTATATGTAAAAAAATTTAGTGGGCTGGTATCATCAATAAACCTCCGAGGTCCCTTACAGTTCTAAATTTATAATTCCACAAACCCCTTTAAATTTATTAGCTTATTACTCTAGCATAGTTGGAACTGAACTTACTTAAAAAAGAAAAAGTTCAATTGCCAGAAATGTAACTACTGAGATTTTCTGCATCCATGGCTCCTTAGGGGGAAAAAAAGCTGATTTCAGTGTAACATTGTCCACCAGACCAAGAAATCTTGCTGTACTAGGTGGTCACTATATTCAAGAAAATCAGCCTGTTGCTTTCATTTTATGAGCCAAGAAGCAAAATGTAAACTTTATAAGTCAGATGGTCAACAAGCATTTATTAAACATCTACTATGTTCTAGGTGCTGTGCTAAGCACAAAACAAACAAAGAAAGGCAAAGGATGGTCCCTCCTTTGAAGAAGCTCACAATCTAATGGGGGAGCAACATGCACACAACTATGCAGAAACAAGGTAGATACAGGACAAACTGGAAATAATCAACAGAGGAAAGGCACTAGTATTAAGTAACGGCAGAGAATTTGTGCTGGGCACATAGTAAACGCAAGGAATTGCCCACTGAATTGAAAATGAAGGAAAGTATAAACTGGAGAATGACTATACAAATTGTGGTACATTAATGTAATGGAATATTACTATGTCATAAAATATAATGAACATGATCAAGTCAGAGAAGCAAAGGAAGATATAGAGTGAAATAAACAGAGCCAGGAAAATAATACACACAATGATTACAATCACGTAAATGGAAAAAACAACAAAACTGAATGCTATCCCACTATAATTACTGAGTCTGGCCCTAGAGAACAGTTAAGAAAATGGACCTCCTTCCCTTCATTGCAAAGGTAAGGGACTATGGGTATGGACTATTGCATATACTGGCAGACATGGTCAATGTCTGATTGGTTTTGCTGAACTGCTTCTTTTTTTCTCTTTCTCTTTTACTCTTTGTTACAAGGGTTGGCTTGCTGGGTGCTGGGGGGAGGGACATATTCAGAAATGAAAGCGGTATAACAAAACAAAACACTAATCAAGAAAAAAGAAAATGGAGTACGGAAGCAATGACATGTCTTTCATTGGTTGGTTTCATTCTATGGCCAGGCCAATCTCACTAAAGAGAAATCTATCTCTCAAACAAGTGCAAAAAAAGCTAATAACTCTCAAGCTAAAAAAAAAAAAAAACTTTCCTCTTTCCAGTCTCATTATCTAAACCCTACCCTTTTGTCACAGTCCAGTTCACATCCCACCTTCTCTTCAAAACCTCAGATTTCCTCAGCCCTCAATGATGTCATGCTCCTACTCTGAACCCTAAATACAGGAGTTCTGAGGTCTGTGAGCTTCTCATTGTTTTAATATAGTTTGATAACAGTATTTCGATATAGTTGTTTTCCTCTGTAATCCTAGGTATTTTGTTTTACGCATTTAAGAAGGGGTCCATAATAACAACATTTAGTACCTACGTCAATGGCGGGGGGGGGGTGTCATTGAAAATAAACTTCATTTCCTCTATTATGCTTCCAAAATTATCCAGCTGCCCGTTTGATTTGTGGAATCTTCCATATGCTCAGTCTCCCTGGATCAATATTTATTAAGTCAATTTCAAACTGAACAGTATTCTGTGGCCAAATTAGTTTAGAATATGTTGTCTTGGGCAATCGTTGGCCTCTCTTAATCCTCCCAATTAATTCATTACTGTTTACCTTCCAGCCACACTTAAATGGAATGAAAGCTGAAGTCCTCCAAAATTAATAAATTCCATTATTCCTCCTACATGGATCATGTCTGATTACCAGGATTATGCTTTACCTAGATAACAACCGGTGGTTATAGAACACTAAACCGATTAAGATGGTTCTGATGCCTTTCAGTCATCAAAGAAGAGACCAACCAGTTTTGGAAGAAAGCTACAGGCTAAGCAGCCATAACTTCCTCCCAGGCCTGGGCTATGACAATCTACTTTGTTCAGTACCTGGCATCTGTACCTTAGGCAAACTTCCAGTATAGATAGTTAATGTTTCTTGATGATTTTCATTCATTCAACACAATAGTGGGGAGAAATACACTCCCCAAAGGAGGTGCCATGGAACGGCAGACAAGCTCTGGCTCTAAAACCAAATGCTACCTTCAAAGTTTTTACCTGGGTTACTTAAGTAACATAATCACTTAAGTAAGCAAGTCACTTAACCTCCCCGGGACTCTGTTTTCACACCTGTAAAATTAAGTCATTGGACTAATCTCAGATTTCTTCCTGCTTTGGATCTGTGATCCTACAGGCCTTCATAGGATAACTGTGATAATCTATCCCACAGAGCTGAGACATGTGACACAGTTAAATTTAAAATAAATTAAAATATGAGGTTTTTATAAAGTGTTTTAAGATCAGATACAGGAGAAAATGCTATCATCTGTGTAAATCAAAAAAAGCCTCATTTAGGAGAAGGCATTTGGGCTGGACTTTGAAGTACAGAAAAGCTGCCAACAGATAGAAATGACAAGGAAGTAGGAATTCCACAAAGAACGGCATGAACAGAGGTGGGAAAACATGCAATGTCTTAGAAAGATGGCAGACGCCTAGAGAACTGTCATTGATCAGTTATTGCACTCATGTCCAACCCTTCATGAGCCCATTTGGGGTTTTCTTGGCAAGGATACTGAAGTGATTTGTCATTTCCTTCTCCAGCTCATTTTACAGATGAGGAAACTGAGGCAAACAGAGTTAAGTGACCTGCCGAGAGTCATACAGCTAGTAAGTGTCTGAGGCCATATTTGAACTCAGGAAGATGAGTCTTCCTGACTCCAGGCCTGGCACTCTATGCACTGTGCCACCCAGCTGCTCACGAGCCTAGAGTACATGACAGTCAAGTCTGAAATAACAGGTCAGAACCAGATTGTGAAGGGCATGGAATACAAAATAAAGGATTCTGCTATACATCTGATAAGTAATTTGGATCCACTGAAGGCTGATAAGCAGTGGAGTGATGGTAGTGCTTCTGTACCAAGTGTCATTTGGGCAGCTAGGTGACACAGATCGAGCTCTAGCCTTGGGACAGAAAGACCTGAGTTCAAATCTGACCTCAGACACTTACTAGCTATGTGTCCCTAGACAAGTCAATTAACCTCTGTTTGACTTAGTTTCCTCAACTGTAAAAATGGTGATAAAATAATAGCATCTACCTCCCAGGGATGTTGTGAGGATCATATGAGATAATATTTGTAAAGTGTTTAGCATAGTGCCTGGCACATAATAAATGCAATATACTAAGTCCTACATAAATGCTTATTCCCTTTACCCCCTTCAACCCCATACCCCTTTGTGCACAGAAATCTATGTGTAGGATGAATTAGAGAAAGATGAGACTGGAGACAGGGAAAGCAGTGAGGAGGCTTGCAATAATTCAAATGAGACCTATGATGGTACCAGTGGAGTGGAAAAGACAGATGTGAGAGGTTTCAGAGAGAGACTTGAGAGGGAAAAGTGATTAGTGATTGAATAATCGAATGAATGTGTGGGAGGGAAAACAGGGAGGAATCACACTTTTCCCCAGCTCTGAACTCTCGATTTGGTGCTCAGTGAAACTAGACTAAGCTGTATCACTGTTAAAAAAAAAAAAAGCCTGAGTTTCTTTCTCCTTTTATGGTAGCATCCACTTCTTCTTTCCCTTTGTAAAAATAAATTAGTAATCGCAGCTTCTTATTTTCACAAGCAACAGAGAGTATGCCCCTTTCAACAAGTATTCTGATGCAATAAATTAAATGACGACCATACATATCAGACTAGAAAGAAGTTCGTAACTAATCGTGGAATTCACAATGGCCCCAACCTATCCCCATACTCATTCTCTACACACACAGAGGTCTCCTAAACCATTTAGCATTTTACTTAATAGAGGGGAGGGTTTCCACTCACCTAAAGCACCATGAGGCAAGAAGGAAAAAAGACATATGGCTGGCAAATAAAGTTACTATGTTTAGTCCTAATCCTGGATAGATGCTCTGGTACAAGGCAGAAGCCAGAAAGATTTCTCTAGTACATGCTAGTCCTCTCCCTAGTAGATCTTCAGCATTAGGACAGTTGGAAAAGAGACAATATGGTGGTAGTGGGCCATGCTGAGAGCTTTGATGTATCACTGCCACCATAAAACTAGGTCAACCAATTAATAAATGTTTATTAAGTGCCTACTAAGCTCCAGGCACTATGGTAAGTACTGGGATACAAAAAGAGGAAAAAGGCAGTCCCTGCCCTCAAGAAGCTTACAAATTGAATGTTAATGCTTTTCCCTACTTGCTTCCTAGGTACAGCTGGGAACTGAACCAATCAAAGTTCTTGAAGATGCCAACATTTTTGCATAATCGAATCACAGAAACTTAGACTAAGAGATCATCTGAAAGGCAGCAGAGTACAGAAGAAAGAGCACAGGACATGCATGCAGCCTGAAAGTCTGAGTTCCTATCCTGACTGCCACTTACTAGCTATAACCATGGATGAATTATTTAACATTTCTAAGCCTCAGTTTTTTCACTCGTAAAATGAAAATAATGCCTCGACTACCACACAGGGTTATTGTTGTGGGGCAGAAATTGGGTAGGTGTGGGTTAACCCTCCACACTCTCACAACACAGGGCAGCACACCAACACTGTAAGCAAGAAAGTTGTGATTGCAGACCTGAGGCAATTGGGTATAACTTTGCTTCCAGGTGGACTGATCCGACACCCAGCTGTGGGCCCTTTGGACAACACAAGTGTCAAAGGGGTTTTTGAGACTTTGGTGAGGAGTTCCTAAGACCCTTCCTTACTGGCTGCTTTTTTTTTTTAATTCCTTGCCAATGGTCTTTATTGGTTCTTACCCCTTCGACTGTTTTTTTTTGAAGCACCTTGAAAATTCCTTCTACCTGATGGTATTGGAATGATTTTAGTTAAAAAAAGAAGTTTGTTTAAAAGCTCTGGGTCTGAGGAGTCCACTGTACCAGAAGTAGGCTACCAACCAAACTTCCCCCCAGTCCTCCCCACCACAGTTGTTATAAGAAAAGCGTTTACATACAACACAGAACTATATGCATGTGAGGAACTATTATTTTTGTAATGTTTTCCTTTAGTCCCCTCATTTCAAAGAGGAAGAAATTGACTTTTTCAAGGTCACAGATCTAGTTAGTGACAAAGCTAGAATCAGAACCCTGGTCTCTCTGACTCACAACTCACAATTCTCTGCACAACGTTGTATTTTCCCCTAGTAACATCAGCTGCCTAACATTTTTCTTGGACTGAAACTGGATATCTCCCAACTATTTTCTGGTTTGTTTTTTTTTAACATTTTATTGATGCCTTTTGTTTTTACATCACAATCACTTCCCAATATTCTCTTCTGCCTCTCTCACCCCAAGAATCTCTCCTGTAACTCTATCAGTTAAGCAAAACCAACTAAGACATCAATCTCTTGTGACAGTATGCACAACATTCTGTACCCATGGTTCTCCACCTCTCTAGTGAGGAGAGAAGGCCATCACCTTTCTAGCCTACATGAGTGCTTCCCCCACCCTACCCCTAAATACCTGGCCATATGTATGATTATTCCCTATATCTCAGAAGTATTTGTTAAAAAACAAAGTACCAACCTGGAACAAATGTGATCAGATAGTCAAACCACTGTCTTATGGTAGAGTCACCAAATAAATAGACCATTTTTCCTTGTAAGCATTCTGTAATGTTGTCAGGTTCATTAAACTGGTGCATCTTGAACTTTCTAGGCCTCCACTGGTTTTTGTAATAATAACCAGAAGGGAAGTTTTCCATGCTTTGAGAGGGTTCAGGGTCATTTGCTTCTGGAAAGACAAAAGAAAATCCTTGAAAATCTCCTAGATACCAGAACAAAAAATTCCCAGTGTGATGACATAAATGTGTTGATATACATGTAACTTTTTATTCCTCTAACACCTAAAAGAATTCCCCCTTATTTCATCCAGTCACACACTGAAGTCTCTGCACTGCACACAAGTATCGTTCTTACAGGTGTGAAGTGAGTATGATGATGTTCTGGGGAGAATGGAAGATAAAAGCAGCTGAATTTTCCTCTGAGTTCATACAGTTTCATTATGGCTGAAGGAAATGGAAGGTCAAAAGAAACAATTATGTGAATATAAGCATCGGATTCAAAACACTTGCCAGGCACTGCTTCACTTCTCACCAGAGGCAGATGCCAACTTATACAGGCACTTTATAAATAGATAAGTGGAATCATGCAGAAGTGATATAACTAGTCCATAGTAAACCAGTGATGAGGGCATAGAGATGTCTCTTGTAGTCCATACATTGTCCAACTTTTTATACATATGTAGTCTCTCATCTAGATTATAAGAATGGCCTCTGATCTAGTCTTTATGCTTCCAGTCTGCCTCCATCTCTACACTATACACACCTTACATACTGGTCCTTCTGGTGAACAGGAGGGATCACATCACTCCACTGCTCAAAACCCTTCAAAGCCCCCCCCCATTGTCCAAATATGCCTCAAACTCCTTAGCCTGACATTCAAGACTGTCCATAATGTCCCAGCCTATCTTTACAACCTAATTTCATTGTACTTGTCTTCATATAGTCCATCCTCCAGAGCAACTGGACTACTCATGCCCTCACCATATATATCCCAAGCTCTCCTCTCTTTGCTCATCCAGCTTTATGTAATATCCTTCCTCCTCCCTCCATCTACATCCTACTTATCCCTCAAGGCCAAATCAAGTGTCCCCGTCAGAAAATTTTCCCAAACTAGAACCAACTAAATTCCTAGCTTCAGATGACTAAAGGAGGCTATGAAAAGGATAAATTTCAATATACTTTGAAAACAAAAATGCTTCCAAGACATTTTTAATTTTCTCTTGGATTTTTGCTGAAAGTTTACACTTGATAGCTTATATTACTCATTCAAATAGTTTTTTTTTAAATGGGCAATTCTGAATTCTCTTTTATATCACTCCCTTCCAGAATCTGAGTTCCACGTTTAAAGACATTCTGAATGTCCACTCACCGTCTAGTATTTGAAATCCAAATTCTTATGAGTCAGCAAATAAAATGTAAATATGTTTTCTTTCACAGAAACAAATGTACAACTCTTTTTTTTGTTTGTTTTTTATTTGTTTTTTGGCTAGGCAATGGGGTTAAGTGACTTGCCCAGGGTCACACAGCTAGTAAGTGGTATGTGTCTGAGGCCAGATTTGAACTCAGGTCCTCCTGAATCCAGGGCCAGTGCTCTATCCACTGTGCCACTTAGCTTCCCACAAATGTACAACTCTTAAACTATTATCTAGAGCTCTTGGAATCATCTGTTCTACTTAGAACTCTTCTGTTTCTCATTCTTTCCAAAGAACTTTAGCTAAAGATGTCCTGTTGTGCCAGGGCATATAGTTAAACATCCTTCCTACACATGTGACAATTTTTCATGGGCTCAGACTCTAAGTTTACCCATCAGGCATCTAAGGTTTCATATAGGTTAATTGGAGACATTATTCAGGAATAATGCTTTTCTGTTACGTATCAGATGCATTATTATTAAGAATACCGCATTTTACATTGTAAACAATAACTCTTTCAATTCAATGTTAATTATATTTACTATCAGAAGGAAGTCAAGCAAATCAAATCAATTACTGTACGTGACATTCATTCTTAAGGGAGGTGACAATAACAGAAAAGTGAAAACATATGCCTACACTGCCCTCCTATGGTCATCTGATGCAGAAGTCATATTCTGGATGCAACACTAATATTTCAGTCCAACTATATAATTAGGTTGTGATTTCATTTGTAAGCCAGCTGTTTAGAACTCAGGGGGAAAACTCCCAGAGTAAGGTTTTCAAGGCAATCAGGATTAAGTGACTTGCTCGTGGTCACAAAACTAATCAGTATCCGAGGTCAGATTCAAACACAGGACCCCTTGACTTCAGGCCTGGTGCTCTATCCATCCAATACTGCCCAGAAGAATAAGATTTTAAGCAATGGTTAGGTTCCCAAGCTATTCCACAAAATCCTATTTAATACATAATATAACTGAAATATAGATAAACATATTTTGTGGAAGAAAAAATCAGTATTCTGCATTTCGACCACATTTTCCCAGAGGCAAATTTATTAACTGAATTAATTCGATGTGTAGAATAAGACTTTTTTGGACATGGTAAATATGAAATTTGTTTTGCTTGACTATACATGTTCATAATGGGTTTTGTTTTTCTTGCTTTCTCAACAGCAGAGAGAGGGGAGGGAAGAAAGAATACAGACCTGAATATAAAATAAAATTTAAGAAATTAATTCTAAGTATCTGTGCTTAGAGAGATAAAAATCAAGAAGGACAAAAGTCCATCTTGCCTTTAAAAAGCTAATTTTTTTTAATTTTTAAAAGTTCTCTACTCAAACCATTTTTGAGTTCTCATTTTTAAGGTTCAAGAACAAAGACAAATTTCACTATCGAGATTAAGCAGGAAGACAAAATCCAAATAATAGTTTTGCCACAAGAATGACAACTTTGGGTGCATCCCGGAAAATTATCTTTGCAACCTGGTCAAGATATGGATAAAGGGAAGCAAGTAGTGTTAGGACTACTGTGTACCATGGGTCCTCCTCACCTCCCCTGACAACATGGGGTGAGCTGGTTTCTATCTCACCCCCCAGCCTGAAACTTGATGGGGGGGTGAGGGGAAGGGTATTAAGGCACAAGCTATACCTTCCTTCATTCAGTTTCCTAGTCACTTATGGACATAAAAAAGGGATACCCTGTAATGAAGGGAGGTCCTTCAGATTTAGAGATGTCCCAAGAAACACTGTGCCCTGCCAACCAGATGATCCATTTCCAATGGGGGAGGAGAGAGATTTACCCAAGCTAAGTGTTGGAATATCCTTACTGGATATTGTTTCCATGCTATGATTTCTTTTGTTAACTCTTAAACAACCTAGGAGTGCTTCATTTTACTCCAGAACAGGGTAAAAAAACCTAAATCAGGCCTACCCCTCACTAGATTACAGCTTCAGTGGATTAATCAAGTCCTTGTTGTTCAGATGTGTCCCACTCTTTGGGACTCTGTGGACCACACGGTCAAATGAAGTTTTCTTGGCAAAGGTACTGGAGTGATCTGCCATTTCCTTCTCCAATGCATTAAGGCAAACAGAGGTTAGGTGACTTACCCAGGAGGCTAGATTTGAACTCGGGTCTTCCTGAATTCAGGCCCAGAACTCTAACCACCCAGCCCTTGGGTTACTGCTACCTAGTCCTCTGCAAGAACGAAGAAGAAACAACATCAACAATTCTGTCTTGAGGGAGAATAAAGTTCCTCCTTGAATTCAGACTTAGTCTCCTTTTAGAAAGTGGTTTAAAAAGAATGTTAAAAGGACTTCAGATGAAGATACTGATTAAGTATTGAAAAAAGGTTTTCTATTCTGGTGGGACCAAAGACTTCAAACAAAAACTGCGACAATACGACTTCTTAATATTATAGAAAGAGAGAAGCAGCAAGAAGTTTAGTATGCTTTAAGGGTTTCCACATGCATGTATCTGTAGGCATATATACACGTGCATGTCTACATAGACTTATACACATATAAGTATATACTGTAATTTGCAATAAAACATAGTAGAAAAAAATTTTGATGTAATACTGTCTCCCTTCCCTTCATGCCCTCATCTCTCCATCTCATTCACATTTGGCCTTAACCTTAGAGCACAACCTAATGTTTCCCTCAAGGTGGGTCAGGATGACTAGCCACAGTCCAGAGTTGTTCCAAGGAGGGCCAGAATCAAAGGATCTTGGAATACTGTAACTGGAAGTAACATTAAGAGGGAATCCTTTTCATGAGTGCCCTATATCTCATCAGTTCCCAAGCCCATTGTCTTTGCACTTAGGCCGTGGGCAGAAAGTTGCTAACTGCTGATCGAAAACAGCTGAGCAAATGAGACAGCGTAAAAACAAAGCAGGAAAAACAAGCTGAACAAACAGAAGGAAATCCGGATGTATGTCATGAGGTAGGAAGGTGGAAGATTTAACAATGAAGAAAAAGGGACAATTAAACACAAAAAGCTAAGTAATATCTGAGGCTCTTCCTGAGGAATTGAATACTCTGAAGAGGAAACAGCTACTTGAGATTCAAACCATCCTTATATGATCCACAGATGCCATGAGGAGAGAGATCAACTAAATAAGGGTCAGAAGAATAAAAGATAAGTAGTGATGGTGGAAGGTACCCACTGCGGGGTTATGTCTGACTCTCCGTGACCCCATTTGGGGTTTTCTTGGCAAAGATACCGGAGTGGTTTGCCATTTCCTTCTCCAGCTCATTTTACAGACAAGGAAACTGAGGCAAACAGGATTAAATTACTTGCCCAGGGTCAGACAGCTAGTAAGTATCTGAGGCCATATTTGAACTGAAGAAGATGAGTCTTACCAACTTCAAACCTGGCACTCTATCCACTGTACCACCTAACTGCCCATGGTTTTTCTTGCCAGTACTAAGGGGTACCAAGAGTGGCTATTACACTAATAATAGAGAGGTATGCTATCTTTCCAGGGCATGTATCTAATACATGACGAGAACCTCCCAAAACTTGCTAAATCTCTTGGGCAATACACACTTCTGGTAATGCAAGAAAAAGATCACAATGATCATGCCAAAAGGAATGTAGGAACCACTGGTAAGGAATATGAAATCCTAGACTGAAATCTGCAGACCTAAGGAGCACTGGTGGTGTATTCATCACTGCTACCAAGAGGAAACAAAGATTTAGGAAGCAAGTAGCTGGCTAAGATGATGGTGGCTAAGAACGGGATTTGGATACATGGAATATGGCTTAGAGCAGCAATGACAGACTTTTGACCACTGATACTGCAGCTAGCAAATTGACTTAACCTCTCTCAGCCTCGCTTTCCTCATTTGCAAAATGAGAGCGTTGTATAATAATAGCTAGCATTTATATAATACTCTAAAGGTCTGTAGAGCTCGTCACAGGCTAATCAAAAATGTATTTACTTGGAGTCTTGCACATCCAAGCAAAAGGACTTTAATCTGAAAAGATAGGTTGGAGGAAAGTGCCTATATTTATCTATCAATGTCAGTATCAGACAAAAGCTATAACACAGAAAGAAGAATAGCAGTTAACATACTCAGTAAATACCAGAAGACAAAATCCAAGAAAAGAGCTAAGAATAAAACCAATAGTTTTGTCTATATGCAAATGAACCACCAGAAAGGTGAACTAAGATCTTAACTAAAGAAGACAAGCTTAACCTCATAGTTCACTGAAATTTGGTAAGATTGGACCCCATAACTGGAAAAAAGTTCTGGAAGGACACATATTATTTCAAAGGAACAGAATAAAAAGGAATAGCATTGTAAATAAAGAAGATGTATTCACAAGAAAAATTCTAGGAACCAGAGGAGTACTGCATGGGTGAAACCTATGGAAAAGAATTTGGACTATTTGGTACTGGCAAAAAGTTGAAAACTTAATCAGTGAAACAGACTAGATAAACGAGACCCAGAAAAAAAATTAACTTAGAGTTTTATAAATCCCAGAATTAAGAAAGCTAGAAAGCAGTTTGGCAGGTAGTTAATACATGATTATGATTCCTGCTTTTTCTTTTTTGGTGTTTAGTCATCTAGAAGATTAAAACACTGAATCAATCATTACATCAATAAGCATCGTTCTAAATTTACAAGTCTCTTTACCCATGCAAATCAACACTTTCTTTGCAACACCGTAGTCTCAAAGAGTTGTCTGAGGCAGAGGACTCAAGCAATTTGCCCAAGGTCTCATAGTCAGTATATGTCAGAGGGAGGATTTGAACTCAGGAGTTTCTGGCCCCAGCTGTTACTATTATTATGATAAGTCTGAATTGTTTCCTGATCAAAATCTAGCTATGAAAGTACTGATCCAGCCTGAGTCCTCTTGAGGACTTAGTACTCTCTCTCCCTCTCAAACTGTCACGAAAGTTATATGGGCCAGCTAGGTGACACCATAGTGCACAGAGTGCCAGGCCTGAAGTCAAGAAGACTCATCTTTGTGAGTTCAAATCTGCCCTTAGACATTTCCTAGCTCAGTGACCCTAAGCAAATCACTTACCTGTTTGCCTCAGTTTCCTCATCTGTAAAATAAGCTAGAAAAGGAAATGGCAAACCACTCCAGGTCTGTCAAGAAAACCCCAAATGGGGCCATGAAGAGTAGATACAACTGAACAACAAAAAGTTGTATCCTCACAATAGAATGTAAGCTTACTGAGGACAAGGACTGTCTTTCATTTTGTCTTTGTATCCCTAGCACAGTAGTTCTCAAAGTTTCTTTGTACGTGGCACAACATTCTTCGCCATGAGGAATCGTGGCACATTTAATATTTAAGTTGGCAGAAGAACACTTCTGGGGATAAAGCTGCAACTGTGAACTTTCCAACACCAGGTCAGGAACCGCAAGCAGCAAACGTCAGCTCAGGGTGGGGTAGGGTGGAGGCTGAGGAATGTGGAAGTCTTCTGGGGAGGGAGGTTTTGCGGCACATCTTTTAGGAATCACTATCCTAATGCCTAGTATAATACCTTGCCCACCACACATAGCAAGTTCTTTATACATTTGAACTGAATCCAATTAAATGCAGGCCCCCACCCCAAGCTGAAGATCAGATACTTCACAGAGGCCTTCGAGAGGCAGTATAGCAAGAGCTTTGGCCTTGCAGGGGAGGAAACAATTATTTATTTATTAAGCACTTTACAAATATTATCTCATTTGAGCATTACAACAACTCTTCAAGGTAGAAACTATTATGAACCCCAGTTTAATGTCGAAGAAATTAAGGTAGGCAAAGGTTAAGTGACTTGCCCAGAGTCACACACATACTGCCTGAGGCTAAATATGAACTCAGGTCTTCTTGACTAGACGTCCCAGCATTCTATCTACTGCACTACTAGCTAGCTCAAGGAAAACTGGTTTTTAAGCCCTCCTCCACCACTAATTGTGTACGCAAATACGGTCTAAATTTCCACAGCTGTGAAAAGGAAACAGGTTCACTCTAGTTTCCATTCCCAGTTACAGGATTTTATCATCCTCTCTTCAGAGATCTTTCCTGGAACAACTCTAGACTGTGGCTACTTATCCTGACCCACCTTGAAGGTAACATTAGGTTGTGCTCTAAGGATAAGGCCAAAAGTGAATGATCTGGCTATAAAAACAGCTGTGAGCATAAGGATACATTAGTTTGGCTACAGCGCTACCTGGTGGTCACCAGAATATGCATCATTTAAATAATACCAAGCAAGCTCTTCATGCTAAAATTTGCTATTATAATGCAGTACTTACATTGTGCACTGGCCAACTGTACATTTACTACCAGCTTCTCATTTACAAAACTATCCTATTTATCCTCATCCAGATTTGGTTCCTTCACTAAGATTCTCACTATTGTTTTCACCAGTTGTTGAGGTTATGTCTATCCCTCCTAATACTTCCTACTAAATAATATATGGTAGACTCAGTGTCTGAAACCTACAAATATTCTTATCATAAAGCACTAAATCATTCCAAAATTTAGATTCCTCTCAGGGGCTTTCCTCACAAAGCCACTTGCCAACATCAAGGAGAGATGGCAGTCTCTTTCAAACTAAAGAGGGCTGAGCTTACTCACATAATCACTGGACATCAGAGCTCAAAGAGGTCTTAGGAAACATCTAATTTGACCACTTTATTCCATAAAGAACGTGGTGGAGAGAAGAGTAATTATTCATGACTGGCAGGCAATGCCATCTCATTCTGGAACTTCACTGGGAATAGGAAGAAGTTTCCAAAAAACACTTCAAAGTAGATACTGCTGGAAGGAGGTGGTCAAAGAGGGGACGGAAGTGGTCAAAGAACTGAGACAAGGTAAAGAGCCAGCGGGGGTTGTTTACTGTGTATGTTGGGGAGGTGTGTGTGTAGGATCTGTCATTAATCAGGTCATGTGGGAATTGAATAGCATGTGAGAGAAATAAGAGGAAGAAAGAATTTTATGAGAGGAGAGATTGGGTTGAACCCTTTGAGCAAAAATATCTAGTGTGAGAAGAAAGAATTTTGTTCTCCAAAGGCCTTTTTCAAGGAGCTTCATTAATACCATGCCAATCATTAATCACTTTTTCAAAATCCCAATTAAACTCTCATCTAAGATCGACTGGATCCAGATTTCCTGAGTCCTTCACCCCCCCCCAAAAAAAAGAATACTAACCCACTCTCATTAATGGTGAGTTTTACTTGAATAATTCCTTTTTCAACAGAACCTACATTGGCATATAATAATTTTCCAGCAAACCAAAAGTTGGTACTCATTAGGAAATGGCTGAGAGAAACCCTTGGGTCTTATCTGAAAACTGGCCCCTATCAATCAATCAATTATTATTTCCATGTTCCCTTGAATGTTTACAGATACTTGGGGAGTGGAACACATCCTTTTCTGAATTCAGAGAATTATACCTGTTCACTCTCCCCCTCCAAACTTGGAATAGTCCCTAACCTTTCATCCAATTACAAATCAGATTACCTAATGTTATATTGTTTCCTTTTAATTACTTGGCCTTATTTGATTGCTTTTAACATATAAAAAGTCTTTCTCCCCACCTGAATTTGGGGTCCAGGCCTAAGCTGAAGAAGTCTGGTCCCAGTTTGTTGGACAACTGGTATACATTACTAAATAAAAAGATATGCTCCGAAGATCAGGGTGGGGTGGGGGGAGAAAATGGCTGAGAATCCTTGTTACATGTGATACTGTGCATGGTATTATTATTCATTTGTCCTCTTGCACAATGAAGTCTGCCATTTCTAACATATCTGGAAGTTCCCTGGATAATATCCATGCGTTCCTCTTCAAAGTCTCTACAATGAATAATACCTATTTTGCATTAATACTAATACATTTCATTTGTTAGTGTCTTTGGAGTTATTTTCTTTTACTAGTTAACACTCTTGTTTTAAATACCACCTTTCCTTGAAAAACGTCCATTCTCCTTATACCTCTTGAACACCTTCAGATGCTCATGTGGAACAGAAGAAATTAAGTTGCCTTCCATATAAATATAGATAACAAAACCCAGGAATTTACACGGAAGGTCTAAACTGTTTTGTTCTGTTTGTTCCTAAATGCTCTTTCAGTATCTTCACTCGTATCTTTATTTGTGCCCAGGAATCAGACAAATTAACAGAGGGGAAAAAAAGTTTTATAACAGCAGTGAAAAAAGAGCCCCAAGTAAGTTAAATTAAAAATACACTTTCTATTTTCTGTGCTCAATTTAACAATTAAAAGTAATGTCACTGGACTCATTCCTTCTTTACCTTTTACTCCTAGGGGAATAACAGTCACCCAATCAGGTCCACTGGAGCGAACTGGCACTTTGATATTGATGTCACTTGAAGAGAAAGAGAAATAATTAAGAGCTATGAGTGGCAAACATTTGTTTTTTCCCCAGTTGCTTACCTTCAATTGTAAAGGCACAGATATGAATTCACAGAACTTAATTTACTTACAAATAAACTTACAAATGAAATACTGAAACATAGCTCCAAGTAATACGTTATTCTCAATAATCAGTTAGTTTTTAGGATGCATTTAAAAAATAATTTGCCCATAGTCAGATAAGGAGAAAGCACTTTGCACACCTGGGATTTGAACTCAAGATTAAAGCCCATTTGTTTCCAGCAATAACTATTATGATTATAATCAAGTTACACTGCACAGTGCATAAGGCAAAGCAATCTTTTAAAAAAAATATCTAATCCAATTTTCAAACTGTAAAAAAAAATTTTTAATTTAAATGGAGAGCTACAATTGAAAGGATAATAGCTTTGGAATCAAAGGACCTGGCTTCAAATTCCATCTCTGTGATTTAATATCTGTGATTTTAGGCATATCTCGAGCTCTCTGGGCCTCAGTTTCTCATCTGCAAAACGGGAAGGAAGAGGGAACTAGAATATGACCTCTAAGTTCCCATCTAGTTCCCAATCCATGATCCTATGAGTAACGTTCTCCCTATTAACTTTACGGCAGCACAGACTGAGACAGAATATATTTTAGAAGTTAGCAAGAATTTGTTTGCATATGTGTTCCAAGGTTTGGTTTTCCTTTTTTTTTTTTCAGTAGGGGTGAGGTGGAAGGGAGAGAAAATTAATGCCTGATGATTGGGAAAAAAAAGAAAATGTAATTTAAAAAAAGAAGATGACAGGAGCAAAATCCAACTCTAATTTTTTTTAAGTAAGTGTAATTTTATTTTAGTGACTAGCTTTCTCCAACTACCACCAAAGTCAATCTTCCTTTTCCCTTCCACCATTAAACAATGAAGGGATAATGAAGGAATATTGACCTATCTCTTAGCAAAAATCAACATTGATATGCTCTGCAGACATTATTTTTGTATGCACCAATATCAAATCAGAAGGTATATATAGTGACAAAAAGAGATCAAATGGATTTACCAGGATCCACTTAATTACCATAAAAATAAATAATATGCATGTATAAAGCACATATATAGAGATATACATATATATGCATATGTGTGCATATACAAGTATATAGTAATGACTATAAATCTGCACACACTTCCTTGCTTACCTTTTATTTTGAGCTATGTATGGTGAGATTCAAGGAAAATATAACCATAGCAGGAAATATTATTAATAGTCATTACCAATAATTATTACTATATTAACACAATAATATAGTAATAATCGTTACTAATAACCAAGGGTAGAAAGGGTAGATTTATAAAGAACTGGCCCAAATCAGAAGTGACTGATTGTGATTTATACCACATACCTTTGGAAGAAAGCACCCTCTGCGGTGGTTAGAAGACCCTTGAGGTACCCTCCTTTGTAATGGTTGATTCTGCTGCTACAAGGGAGCTTTTTTGGTTGGAAACAAAACCAGGGCTCCCCAGTGTAGAGATCTGTGAAGTTACACACAGGTAGGTTTCCTGGTAGACATACATTGCATATGGTGGTCTCTGAAATCCTCCCTGACCGAAAGAGACTTTTAAAATAGACTCTATCTGGCCTCACCTCCTGTAGATGCTGAAGGATCTGGACTGCTTCACTAGGGTGAACCAGAACTATAGATACAGTCACTTTGCCTGGCCAAAGCAAAGTAAAAAAAACTTTGTAGAATCCATTTTGGTAGTCTACAACTCTTCCCACTGCACCAGCTTGCAATTTGGGTGAGTGGATTCTGGCCTGTAAGTAGTCTCCACCATACTTTTTGGGCCTCCCTTGGAAATCCTGTACTTGAACCAGCACCTCAAGCTGGCTCCCCACCTTGAAGAAAGCTCCAGAGTTCAATATCACAAAATAGCTAGAGGAGGGGTCAGTGCTCTTCATAAACGGGACCAAATCCGCATACGGCTCATGGCTCTGCAAGGCTGCCAACAAAGAGTCCTCTTCCAAACGCTCCCTCTTAGATAAGGTTTGATGTTCATAACCGCAGTAAGGCTTTCGGACAACTCCTGTTGCTTGAGGGGAAATATCCTGTCCGCTGCTATCAATGACGGTAGCTAAAACACTTTCATGATCCAAGTGCTGAACAGAAAAACACAAAGAAACAAAACAAAACAAAAAAATTTCCTTATATGCAGTCAAGCAAACCTCTAACATTGTTGAGGCTAAATTTTAAAACAATATTAATAAAATTTTGGAAAAAAACTTGTGCTTGAAAAGAGGATTGGTGGCTTGAATAAAAGGTGTCCCCCTGAGTTTAAGATGTTTACAAAAGTTCCAGTTTTATGGGGATATCTAATATATTACTATTTACTCAAAATGGGAGAAAAGAAATGGAATGTCTGCTACCACTACTGGAATCTGTAGAATAAGAGAATGTTGAAACTAAGGTCAAATGACTTGTTCAAAGTCACACAGGTAATAAATGACAGAAACGATATTTAACCCAGGTCATCTCATTCCAAATCCTGTGTTCTTTCTACTAACTGTGTATATGTGTCATGTTGCCTTAAACCTACCAAGGTCATTTTCAATTGTGATCTATGATTTGATGTATTACAGATATATAGTTTAGTTTTTAGCTACTTGGGAATTACCTATCTCATAAAAGGAATGGGAAGTGAAGCTTGTTTTGATCAAAGGCAAACCAGAAGTAACCCTGGTTCTTTTTTTCCTGGCCTCGCTTTTCTTGTGAAAGGCTATCTCTGATCTAATTACAACTTTCCATACCATAAACTTCCATGTCCCTCGACTGACAACAGAGAGCCATCCCCACTACTTCCTAGCTCCCTGTCTGTGACATCAGAGGTAAATGATTAGTTAATCATAGCCCAGGTCAGACACACTTACCCTGTTACACAGCTAGTTAGTGTGACAGAACCCCAGCTAACACCAAGCTCTTTATATTCCAATGTGAGTATTATTATAATTAATAATCTGTCATAAACACATTTAGAAGTTAAATGAATATAATCAAAAGAGAAACAGCATGAATAGGGTATTGGACTTGGAGTCAGAAACACCTGGATTCAAAACCTACCTCACATACTTAACAGCTATGTGACCCTGGACAAGTTACTTAACTTTTCTCTGCCTCAGTTTCCTCATTGTATAAAGAGGAGTTGGATTCAATGACTTCTAAATTACATTTTAATTCTAAAATCCATACTTCCATAGTCCAATTTCCCAGGAAACACTATTATCTGATTTTGTGGAAAATATTAGCTATCTTTCTTAGAAATTCTCTTTTTATAGTACAGTTTTTCAAGATATTTTAAATGCTATATTCAATTTTGTCACTCGTTAATTTAATAGATATGTTTTGATAATTCATGATGAATGTCTTTTGGACATAATAAATCATTCTCTGGATTTTGAAAAGGCATCAAGCACACTAGTAAACAACCACCATGCCCCAGACAGGAATGAAAGCATGGTAATTCACTAAAGGTCCACATTTCTTCCCTCTACTGCCAATGAATGTACTTTCCCCCAAAGCCAGGAATTTTGAAAAGTGTGAGGCCATTTGGTCAAATCCCTTGCTACCAAATAGCTCCCAAATTGCATGAAGCAGAGGTAATCTCAGATTACAACAAGGATTTTCAGCAATTGAGCTATTATACAATGATTTCTCTTCTTTTGGGCATGTATACAGTTAGTTCATTTAAATAAATTGATTAACAAATATTAATTAAACACCTATTATGTACCTGTTTAGGCGCTGAGAATATAAAGACAATGAGTGAATCTGTTTCTAATAACATCGCATTCTAATGAGGATGACAAGAACATATACAAATGCATACAGAATAAATATAATGAGAATGAAAAAAATGAATACAAAGTAGTTAAATACAAGTTAGCTTGAGAAGGAAGGAAACTAGGAGTTGAGAGGATCTGGAAAGTTTTCAAGTAGAAAGCAGAGCTTGAGCTGTGTCCATAAGGAAGAGGATTCTCTGATATAGAGGTCAAGAAGAAGGATAGTCCATGTATGGCAGAGAGAGGCAAGCTGGAGCAGGGCTCATGCTTTAATGAATTAAGTAACATTATTATTTCAATTAAAAGTAACTCAAAAGGAAAAATGGAATTGAGTCTAAGGAACTTTTTCCATTGGCTTTTGCTCCTATTTTTTAAGTCAAGTATGGAACTTTTGGAAAGGATCTGTTTTCACCTCACTTTTAGATGTTGTAAGGCCCACCATTCTCTAGGGTTTACAACTTGAGTTAGAATCAAACTGTCTAGAAGGACATCAAAGGCTTTGCAAAACTTCCAGTTCTAAATCGGTGATTGATCCTATGCTCCGTTGCATTATGCCCTCCCTCTGAACTCCATACCTACCTACTCATCTTGTCCTTTTCCTCTCCTCTTCAGTTTCTGTGATGTGTCCCAGCTTTTGTCAGATTCTTGAATTTGCTCTGTCATATAAATAATAGTATACTTCAAGTTTTGCAAAGCCTTTGATCTAAGCAGTCATAGCTAGCCAGCTATCTAAGTCCTGGAAAAATTTTAAATTCAGGTATAAGATCACAGATACCAAATAAATGCCCTACTGTCCAACAGGGCACCATCCCAAGTACCAGAGGCTCCCTGGAGAGCCCAAATTAAGGACACTATAAAGGTTTTCTTCTTTTTAGGCCAGACTGGAGATGGTCCCCTGGGAGTTCAAAGACCAAATAACCAAAATAGAACTAGTAGGTGATTAAGGCCAAAAAGAGGAATACCAGTACCTCAGGTAACTGGAAGCAGTCTCCTACAGTTAAAGGAAAAAACACCACCTGATAGCACATAGTGAAAAGGAGGTGGGTATATTCTTTCAGGGGGAAGAAAGTACTGCAAAGACTGTATATTGCAATAAAATAATATTTCTTAGATGCCCTAGGAGAGAAATCTCATTCATAGTTTAAAAAAAAGTGTGTGTGTGTGTGTGTGTAACATTCTTGATAATGTAGGACACTGAAATAGGATTCTGTTTTTTGCAAGGAGAGTGAAATGAGGGAAGGAAATTGGGATACTTTGTACCTAATTTGTTGAGAAATTTAAAAGTTTTCTTGCAATAGTTTCCTTCCTGTCCAGAGAAATTATATGTAATCTTCAGGCCTGGAGTTAGGAAGACTTGGGTTCCCATCCCCCCATTCCAAGTCTAATTAACTGTGTGACCCAGAATGTAAATTATACTCTGCACTGTTCTAAAAACGAACCTCCTAACAAACAGAAATGTCTAAAACTGGAATGGGTTGTCTCAGGAGAGAAGTAACCCCACCACAAGATGTGTTCAAGCAGAAACAAAATGATCATATGTCAGACACATTGGGAAGTGAACTTGTGATTTCGCTGTGTATTAGGCCAAACGAGCTCTGAGTCTCCTCCACCCCTGATAGTCTATACTGCTTTTAATAGAATTCTACGATTTTTGTTTTCCTAGGTCATGTCGGCTTACAGAACCCACTTGGACAAAGTCCCTTTACAGAATCTCATTTGCTAAGGATGGAAAATAGGAAAGATAGGTAGGTAAAAGGTAGTGGGGAGCTATTCTGTTTACCAGTTGCCTTTAAAATTGAAATTCTAGGAGTTTCCAATACATGACACTTCATATCCTGGCCGAGCTAACCTCATTCTGAAAGTAAAAATGCTCTACGACAGTCTTATGAAAAGTCCTATCTATCCACTTTTCTATTCATTTTTATCATATCAGATTTTTCTGACAGGATTTATTAAAAAAAAAAAACAACTTATCATCCTTCCTCCCCCATCCATCCAATGCTCAATTTAATTGTTTTTAGGATGATTACAGATTTTATTTAATGTACATTCCAGAGGCTTAGCAAATACTGTCATTAGGATTGACAAAACATTTCCATGTTCCTTCTTAGCTTTTAAAAAAATGTGAATTTAACAAAACAAACAAAAAAAGAATGATATGGCACATGTTTCTCTGGACATTTCCAAAACACTCTGACAGCACTGTAGTAAATGGTCCTTCAAGCAGGCTAGCTCTTCTTATGGAATTCCCTTAGGTGCAGGCCATCTGAATCTACTGATGAGGACATCTGTTCAGTAGCATCAGCTTTATTTCTCTACAGAAAATTGCAAAGGCTTTTTCATCACCTTCCCTCTCCTCACTCTAGTCAGTCCCTTCATTCTCCCCAGAAACACTCTAGCCCTAGGGTTAATCTTTCTTAGTGCTCTTAACTTTTTTTGTGTTGTGGACTCTTTTGGCTGTCTGGCAAAGTCTACGGATCCCATCTCAGAATAGCATTTTTAAATGAATAAAATAAAATATTAAGATTATGAAGGAAATCAATTATATTGAAATAAGCTGTCAACAAAGTTTTAAAATAAATATGTGGACCCCCAGTTAAGAACCCTTGCTCTGACCATATACCCTAGGGCCACTTCTATTTGGGGGACCACAATAGCTAGGGTTGCTAAGGAGACAGGTCTGCCTATGAATGTATTCTTCCTTTCCCAAAGATATTCTCATGGGCTTTCTATCATACACAGCTTGTTTTAATTGGTTTTTAAAAATTTTTGTTGTTGTTGACTGAGATCAAATTGTGCTTCACAGACATCAATCTATGTGTAAATTTTCACTACATAGCTAGAGAAAGTATAGAAAGTTGGAATACATATGTCCTGAGACCAGAATATACCCTAGCAGTAGCATTTTAGAATAAATCCCTGGTATTTATTTTCTTGTTATTTGCCTTTTTCTGGTTTTTCATGCATGCAGAATAATAATTCTGCTTAACCGAGAGCCATAAAATAGGATTCTATTTAACTGAGGTTTTACTGTAACATTATTAAATTAGTTGATCTAAAGTAAGAGCTCCTGGGTTCAAACCCCAGATCTATTACTAACTACTGGCATGAAAAGATATTTCAGTTTACTCATTTATAAAATGATGGATTTGGACTAGAACTTGGATTTTAAAACTGGAGTTCACAGACCCCAAAGGGATACATGGTTACATTTCAGGAAGTCCATACGTTTGGTGGGGAAAAAAATATTTATTTTAATATAATTGGTTTCCTTTGTAATCTTATGTATTTTGTGAATTTAAAAAACATCATTTTGAGAAGGA